GGATATTACACCCAACAGCTCCGGTCAGAGTGTCAGTGCTTCATAAGTTTAGTGTATTTGCAGCTTGTTGGAGGTTGACAGTGTTCTTACTTTGCAGCACGTCTTCTGAACAGAGTGCAGCTAATACCATATGCTGTCTCATCTGTTCATGTCTTGTAGTTTGTTTGTGTTCTGGGTCTGTGTCTGTGCTCTGTGAAGCTGTCAGGGCCTCCATGCGTGTGTCCCAGCACCATCAGCAGCAGTCTGTTCGCTCTGTCAGTCCACCTGAAGTCTTCTTGGTCACATCAGTGTCCTCCTCTGACAAAACAAGACAGCTACAACATACATATTGCTCGATCAATACCCCCCTCCTCATGTGCAGCAGAACATCCAGCCTTGACAAACCGAACTGCCGCGCCGGGAAACCGTCACTCCTGCACCGGGTCATGTCGCTGGGAGGCCCGCCCTCTGGCTCCAACCCCGGTGGAGGATGAGACTGTGGAGAGGCGGTTATCACCCCCAGTTCCGTCAAGTGCACACGAGTGCCAAAAGAACAGGAAGTAGTATTTTCCAAATAAAAGCAGTGAAATGATACAACTTGTTTGCTGTTAGAAGTATGTACATGTTTTGTGTGTATGTTTGACGGATGCTGATGATGGTATGTGACTGTATTATTATGACCACTGTGTTCTGAGCTATATTAGAGCTAGACTACTTTTAATGCAACTGAATTTCCATGTCCAGCTGAAAAAAAAAAAAGCCTTTCTTATCTTTTCTTTAGCAAATGTCAACCATGGGATAGCATTACAGTGTGATATAGGAAACCATGTTCACAGTCCAAAGACATGCATGTTAGGGGTAACTGGTGGGTCCAACATTGGCCATAAGTATGAGCGTGCATGGTTGTCTGTCTCTCTGTATTGGCCCTTTAAAGGACAGATGACCTGCCCTTCCTCTCCAGTCCTGACAACCCTGCATAGGATAAAGTGGACATATTTATATTTATTCATGTTTTAAAAATGGTTAAGTGGATGCATGTAGGAGAGTTGAATCCACAGCTATATGTGCTACAAATTAATTATGATAAATAATAATAATAATAAAAATTGATGCATCTTGTTTATTTCAAATATAATTATTAATACTGTTGTAGGGGTCTACCATGTGTGTCCAGAACATTTTTAGTCTTTTTTTTCTACTCAGATACTTTCATTTTAAAGCTGCACAGGAATCTATCATCATCCAATTTATTTTTGGAAAAACAATCCTCTGAGATAAAGAATGTTCATCTGGCAAATTTTCGCTACTCAAAATATTCCAACTATAGGAAGTGCTGGGAGTTTTATTTTGAAAGGCGGAAGCAGACATGTTAACGAGCGTTCCCAGTGGTTAACTTGACGGACCCCCTCTGCAGACGCTCATATGTTCTCCGGTGAAGCGAGTTGAGCGCACACAGCTCTCCTCTCCGTCTCTGCCTCCTCGCTTCAGTTTCTCTCTTTGCACCACCACCGGGCTTTCCGCCGGACCGCTCGCCGTCGAGAAGAGCGCCATGACCCGTGTGGTGGTTCAGGGGATGCCGGAGACGGTTCCGGTCGGAGGGGGAATGATGCTGAACCGGCGGAGGAGCAAAGCCAGGCGGAGAAAGCGAAAGGAGTTGTTCGGCGTCCAGATGTGCTTCGCGGGGCTGCTGCTGGGGCTCGTCGTGGGGCTCCAGTCGGTGGCACAGAAAGCAGGTGAGGCCAACTGGGAAAAAAAAAACCTTCGTCCAACAGCCAGGAATGTGGTTTGTTTCTGTCCGGGGAAGAGCAGACAGCAACAACAGGCTGTTAGAGGCACATTGTTGTGCTTGCTGCTGGAGCTTTCTGTTGCCTGAAAGCACAAAGTGAGCTGTTGGAGGGGAAACACACAGCATGTGTTAACACGAGCAATGACACAGTACAACATGTAGATGAAGATGTAAATCCAATGACAGAAGTGTTAAGGCTAAAATAATGAAATGTGTATCATAGTCCAGCTGTGGTTGTGTCAGTGGATCCCATCAGGATTAGTGCACATACATGAGAGAGAATCATTATTAGGGCTCAGCTTTACTGTATCAGCTCGCATGTACAACCTCTGTAAAGAACAAAAACAAGATGCTTTCTTGTAGCTCAACATCTGTAACCAATAATCCTCTGGAAATGGTAGCTGTGGCTGTGCTGCTCTGGGTTGCCTTAATTACTCAACACAAATCTACTTTTTTTTTTTTTCTGCCCCAGCACACAGAACAGCTGATGTACCTGCAGTCTGTTTGTTCTGTGAACGCTGCCGACGTGCATTCTTAAACAGAAATGAAACAGTGCACTTTGCAGGCTTATCCCGGCTCAGAGGGATGCTCTGTGATTGAGTCTTCCAGCGATAATCAGGATATACCTTTACAACGCTGTTGATTCGGACTTTAGAGAGGCTTTAGGTGACTCCCAGCTCTGAGCTCAGCCAATGTTTTGGTGCCTTTTGCCAAGTAGGTCTTGTTAATGGTCGAGTCAGCAGCCCTGTGAGTATATCAGGATTTCAACTAAACCAAAAGTACATTACTCCTTAGTGTCTTCTTTCTTTCTTCTTTCCGACACTTTTTTCTTGTTTTTAACATCTTGCCGCAAACCATCCTTAATGCGGTTATCAGCAGCTGTTAACTGATAACTCTCTGCTTATTTTCTGATAGTGAACTGAATCTTCTATTTTCGGAGGACACAAAAGACGAGCATGTGAAGTGATTACACAGGTATTAGCAGAATGCCAGATGTCTCAAATATGTAATTGCAGAAAGGAAGAAATTCTCATCAGTGGCACATTTCTCTGCTTCATTAGGTTGTGTGGAATTTCCTCGGTCTGCAGTGACACATTTTAATTTATGTGGGAGTTTCTGTGCTCTCAGGTGTTCTCATTTCAACTCAGTCTGATGCAACAGACGAGTATGCATCCACGTCCTGAAAAACTACCATGACATGAAGGACAAACTGTCCTGCTGAAGCGATCAGTTAATAAGCTGAATCAACAACAATCAACAATTAAGATAAAAGATTCATTATTTTTGTTGCTCCTAAGGCCAAAAACACAATCATATGATGAATATACTGCTTCCTCTATTTAGTCTTTAGGTTTCGTTGTTGAAGCAAAAATTTTTTCAAATTTTAATCCGTAACTAAATAACTAATTAACCGATTATTGATTTGTTATTGACAGCCAGTATTCTTAGTTCTCCCCTTCAGTCATGCATTAATATACTGAATGATAACTTGTGTTTTGGATGTTTTGTTTTCCCCCAAAAATGTTTCTTAAAGATTCTCAAAACCAACTTTTTGTCCTTTAATTGAAAATGAATATGTAAACATTGATTCTGTTAAAAGTTTAACTGCCCTAAACCACGTCTCTTAAACATTCCAATGAAATCCGTTCTCACAGTGTATTTGCATTTACATCTCGCACCTCGTCATGTTGCTTACTTGACTTTAATTTGCTTCCAGAATAGTTGTGGTGTCACATATTGTCTTTGTATTTGCATTAGAAGATGCTTTAAGGTGAGCTTCTTCAGTAGATAATTGTAAAAGTAGCAGTAAAATGGTGCCATACAAGCAAAACACGAGTTCAGCTTCCTGCGCATTTTTAGTTTATAACAGCTAATCCTTCCACCTCATCAGAACCCAAGCTGAGCTCTTCAGATGTCTTGTTCAACCCCCCTCTATCCCCGACCTTAACCCACAGTTTACCATAAGTTACAATGTCGTCACTTTGGAATAACTGGAACTAGCGTATGTTTGCTATTTTTCATTCATAAGTGACAATTTAAAAATGTTATTTACAAAAATGTCATACTATGGAAAAAGAAGAAGAATTTCACAGTGCAGGACAGCAGCAGATAGAGCAGAGTGAGTAGATGAATTAGAGGGTCTGTCGGTGACGTGTGACAAAGACATTATGACAAACCGCGTCAGTAAAATTAACTCAGTAAACTGGAGGCCACGACAATCAGAACAATGAACACAATGTGAATTTGCCTTAATATATATATATTTCTTAATCGTTTAAATCTGTTGCATGCTGTAACTCTGTCTTTTCCTCTAATTTTCTGTGCATCTCCACTGATACTTTCCAATAAAAGCAAAAAAAATTACGATAGAATTGAACGTGTGTTTCCCCCTCGAAAGAAAGTCTGGAGTTTGCTCATACCTAAGAGTTCC